AGTGCAAACACCTTGAGCTCATTAAACACAGCCCTGTTGGTCTAGTATCAGAAACAGCATTCAGTCTACCACAGCACACTGCCTTTCCCACACTGCTGCAAGACCCGGGGAGAACCTCTGTGCCTCACATTTCTACAGGGCTCCATAGTCCACAAAGCACTTTCACAATGTTTCACTTTACTACACCTTCAAAACAATCCATGAAATAGACAGGGTTGACTTCAGTTCTATGGCTGGTAGGTACTTTGGCACTTGACCCTATCTTCTAATCCAAAGAGTTGGGGGTTTTTGTTTGTTTGTTTGTTTTCCCCTACTAAAAAAGTATCTCCAAAAAGGGGACCTTGTTTACCTCTGGGAACACAACTAGGAGGCAGGAATATTTTTAGGAAAAGACTAGAAAAACAGAATCCCAACAACCCAACTAGCAAAAAAGGTTTTTTTTGGTATCATCGGCAGTAATTTTCAAAATGGGTCTTGAAGGTACGTCAAGACTGTATACAAACAGGGCACAGTGGCATATTCCTGTAATCCCACCTGTTTGGTTATTTTCTTTCTTTGTATGGAGATCGAACTCAGGACTTTGCACTTGCAAGGCAGGCACAGTGCCACTGAGCTGAATCCCCAGCAATCCCAGCTATCTGGGAGGTTGAGGGAAAGGCCAAGTTTGTAGCTAGCCTAGGTAACTTAGCAAGACCATTTCTCAAAACAAAAATTAAGAGGCCTGAAAATGTAGCTCATCTCTCCCTAGGTTCAATCCCCGGTACTTGAAAAAAAGTATGCAAAATACTATTCTAACGACAAAGGAATTTTTTAATATTTCTCAATACTAAAATCAATAGGCATGTTGCATCGCATCCCATCCTGAGCAGTCTCTCTGTGTGCCACCAGGCTGGTGCCGATGTGAATCATCCGTATCGGGGATACTTCTTGACTCCCAGGTCTCTGTCTGCTGCCCTCCCTACCATATCGCAGGCCCAGCCGCTGCTCCGGCCCCAGGTTGCAGGAAGTGATTGACACGGTGAAGGGAAAGGCACTATAAGGGGCTGAGTACCTGACCCCAGTCCTCAAGGAATCAAAATGTAAGGAAACAGGTGTAATCACCCCAGAAGAGTCTGTGGCAGCTGAGATCCCTTAGTCCACCACTGCCCAACATGGCAGTGGGCAACCGAGGGAGAATTAAAAGTGAAACCATTTTTGGTAACCCAAAATGTGCCATGATACAAATGCTGCAAACAGATGGAATATTCAGATGAGCTGGAAGCTGTCATGGAAGATGATGATGGTGATGGAGGGTGGGCAGATACGCATCACAACACAGGTACTGCGGGAATAACTAAGCAGTTAAAGAGATTACGCTGGAAAACAAGGACAGTGTAAAAGTCCAAGACTGCTCAGCACTCTGTGAAGAGGAAGAAGAGGAAGATGAAGAGAAGCCGCAGACATGGAAGATGATGAAGAAAGTAGATTGTTGGAAACAGATGAGGCTACTCTAGATGAAAGGAAAATAGTAGAAGCTTGTAAAGCTAAAACTGAATGCAGAGGTGAAGATGCTATTTCACAGACCAGAACTTATGACTTACACATCACTTACGATAAGTATTTCCAGACACCACGACTATGGTTGTTAGGCTATGGTGAGCAAAGGTAACCTTTAACAGTTGAGCACATGTATGAAGACATCAGTCAAGACCATGTGAAGAAAACAGTGACCACTGAAAATCACCCGAGGCCAGGGATTTAGCTCAGTGGTGCCGCCACCTGCTTCACAAGCTCAAGGTTCCAAGTTCAATCCCTGGTACCAAAAAAAAAAAAAGAGAGAGAGAGAGAGAAAATCACCCTCATCTCCCACCACCTCCTATGTGTTCTGTTCACTGATGTAGGCATGCTGAAGTGATGAAGAAAATCACTCTGAGACAGTTGCAGGAGGGGGAGAGCTTGGTGTATGTATCTTCTAACTTTTTTGAAATTTGTACAAGCTGTCATTCCAACAATATGACTACACAAGACACAATGTAACAAAGAGAACATAGAATCCATCCTAATTATGAATCTTGATTTTTAAAGAATCCATAAACGTGACTATTGACCAATTTCTCTAATAAAGGGAGCTATATATTTATGCATAAAATAAAATAAATTAAAAAAAACGGGACTAGGGATTTGGCTTAGTGGTTCCAGTGCCTGCCTCACAAGTGCAAGGTCCCAAGTTCAATCTCCCCAGTACCAAAGAATGAATAAATAAATAAATGTATAAATACATAAATAAACAGGTGCCCTACCATTGAGCTATACCTGCAATCCTTTTTTGTGTTTGTTTGTTTGAGACAGAGTCGCGTTGTGTAGTTTAGGCTAGCTTTAAACTATGTGTCCCAGGCCGGCTTCAGACTCATGGAGATCCTCCTGCTTCAGCCTCCCAAGTGCTGGAAGGGCAAGCCTGTGCCATGAGGCAGTCCAAATTGCTTCAGCTGGCCTTAAATATATGTTCTGAATAGCTGGGATTACAGATGTGCACCTCAGTGCCCAGATCTTTCTTATAACTAGGAAATATTTGTATCCCAATTCTTTGAAAATTACCGATCTGTGCCTGGCATACATGGTAATTCTATTACTCACATATTCCCATCTGCTTCTCCCTGTTCTCCAGATTCTAACCCTGCTTCAGTTTAGTTCCGTCCTCTGAGAAGTATCTTGAGTTTTGTTCTATAGTAGAGCACATTACTGCATCCAGTAAATTAGAGCTGGGAGTGGTGCCACATACCCAGCACTTGGGTCTGAGGCAGGAGGATCACACATTGGAGGGCAGCCTGAACTACACTGCAAGACCCTGTCTCAAAAAATAAATTAGAGTGAATATTATATGGCCACTAGACTGGGTGTCCAACCATTTTTTTTCTGGCTTGTCTGGGTCACAGTGAGTGAAAAGCAATTGTCATGAGCTGCATATAAAATACATAATATAGTTAACATATATGTTTTTAAATTTTTTAAATATTTAAAATATTTCTAAATATTAAAATTTTAAATATGTAAATATTTTTTAAAAAGGCAAGGTGCCTTCAGGTCACAGGTTGGACATGCTTAGGAGAAAGGGGTGTGGAAAGACATGCACTTCAATTCCATTAATAAAAGCAGTAAAAGTCGTGATGGTGCACACCTGTAATCCCAATACTTGAGAGGCTGAGGCAGGAGGATTACTCCGAGTTCAAGGCCAGCCAGGGGTACATAGCGAATTCAAGGCCAGTCTGAACTACATAGAAAGACCCTGTCTCAAAGAAAAATAAATGACAATTGTGAAAAGGACAGAGCTCTGCAGTTATACATCTGTGAAGCATGTGTGCATAATGCTGAAGTACAGAGACTTGAGTGTACGAGGAAGGATATTTCAATTATGGATTCATTTTCCTTTTTTTTCTTTTTTTGTGCTGCACATTAAATCTAGGGCCTTCATACTGAGCTACATCCTCAACCTTTTTTTTTCCCCTTTTGAGACACTAAATTGCAGAAACTTTGGGTCAAATTTGCAATCCTCTTGCCTCAGCCTCCCAAATTGCTGAGATTACAGATGTGCACTACCATGGCTGGTTATCCCATTATTCTTAGCTGCTCCATGCTATTAGATACTGCATTCAATGGTTGTTTCATGTATATAGCATTAACCCCCTTGCTATGGTTTAAGTATGTATACCATACCCCCAAAGGCCCACGTTACAGGGTAGTTCACTACTGCCTCTTCTGGGAAGTGGTAGAATCCTCAAGAAGTGGGGCCTAGGTTAGGTCACTGGAGGTGCGCCCTTGAAGGGGATATTAAGGGCCCTGCCCTTTCCTTTTTTTATCTTTTACCTACTGCCAGCCATGAAATGAATAGCTACCGCCCCACATGCTCCCACCATGATGTGCTGCCTTGCCACAAGCCTAAAAGCAATGGGCCAAACAACCATGAAACAAAGTCATCAGAACTGTCAGCCAGGGCCAGGGATTTAGCTCAGTGGCTCCACACCTGCCTTGCAAATGCAAGGTCCTGAGTTCAATCCAATACCAAAAAAAGTAAAACTGTCAGCCAAAACAACCCCTTCACAACCACTAGGGGCTGAACCCCAGGCCTTTACAATGAGGGGTGCTTTCCTGAGCCCTTACCCCAGCTTTTGTTTGTTTTGAGTCAGGGTCTGGATAAATTGGTAAATTGCCCAAACTGGGCTCAAATTATCAATCCTCCTGCCTCAGCCTTCCAGAGTGTCAACCACCTCACCTGGCTTTTAAACTTTGCCTTTTTAAGTTGATTTACCTCATGTACTTGTTACGGTAATAGAAAGCTGTTGTGAGCCGCTCGCCAGTAAGAAAGTATGTAACATTCAGGATCCTTTTGAAGCTTCTTTATTATCTTGGGAGAAGGTCTAAAGCTTTTATAAAAAACTTTCCTTTATATATCCTGCTAACTATATTAACTCGACAGAAATAAGAAGTTATAAGATTATGACTATAGCACATTCCGATCACTATCAGGGGAATAAACTTTAGGCAGGGAGTAACCATAAAAGCAATGTCGCCATCCCAGAACAAACATCTTGATTAAGGATGATTTAAACAAAGAACTTCTGTAAATAAGCCACAATCCCAACACAGCTCAGTAAATAGGAGATTGAAATTCCTCACGATGACTTGGCAGCCTGCAGTGTCTGCAGACCAAAGCACTCCACAGAAAGCTAACACATTCCCTATACAGTGATGTTCAAATCCTCTAGAAAGCCAAGTATGGTGATGTACACTTGTGATCCCAGCACTGAAGAGGCTGAGACAGGAGAACTGTTGAATTCAAGGCCAGCCTGAACTATAATTGAGATCCTATCTTAAAAAAAAACAAAACAAAGGCCAGGCTTGTGCCTGTAGTCCTAGCACTTAGAAAGCTGAGGCAGGAGGGTCACTGCAAAGTTTGAGACCATCCTGGGCAATACAGTGAGTTCAAGGCCAGCCTGAACAACAAAGTTGAGACCGTATCTAAAAAACAAAACAAAAAATCTTTTTGGATACTATTAAGGCAGTTTTAGACACATAATGATTAACACGAATATCCAACTAAAACAGTGCATAACCCAAACTTGATAAATGAGAATGGCCATTTTAAGGTAGAAAAATTAAATGTCTGGCCTGTGGCAGTTCTTGCCAATTTGCTACAGGGTAGCATTTATAACTTAGGTTCAATTATGACCTAGGTTCCCCACGTCAAGTCCACTTCTTGCAGCCACTGCCAGGTTTCTCAGGGAGCTTCTACTCATCTCTTAGTCTAAAGTCACTAACACCCTTTTCGTGCTCTATTAATCCCAAATACAAGGCACAGAATGCACAGGGCAGTCTTAACTTTATTTAGATTCTTAATTAAAATGTTTTGCAGTAAAAAGCACAACTTGCAAGGTGGGCAGCTTCACAGGTGTTTCCTGTCCCAAATTTTACGGAAGTAAAATTTGCAGTCATGTTGGTTAAGGAGCGACGAACTCAAGTTGGGAGAATGACCAACAGGAGGCAAGGTAAGGCTCATACTTAAGGAAAAATTCTGAAGGGCTTCAGCTTCACCCAGATGAAGTCTATTTCACAGCTGTTGGTCAGTCAAATCTGGCCAACCAGGAATAAATTTAATTTTGCTACTTCAGTAGACGGCAACAGAACTCCAGGCCAGAACTTGGGCCTAGTAGTAGGTGCCAATATAGCCGCTTCTCAAATCACCCGGTTTTAAAACAGCTCCTCTACCCCTCGCACTCTGCTAAGTGGAGGACCAGGCTTCATCTCTCAGAGCAATTCATCAGGGACACTTCATTTACGTTTCTTCTCCTGTGTGCTGGTGAACCAAGAGTCTAGGAGTTTCTTGCTGTAGTACAACTGCCAGGCATGCACTTGGACTGCCAGTACCAACACCAGGTACATAACAGAGACAGCAGAGAAACCAAAGAGGAAGCGGTAGGCCTTGCCGTGGCGGTAGAGTTGCTGTGCAGCAGGAAACATCTCCATGCTGCCATAAATAAGAGGAGCAATGGAAAAGAGCCCCATGCTGATCATGGAGAGCACCAGGTAGCTAATGTTGTTTCGGGGGAAGGAGAGAAGACCCAAGAGAGAGGGCACAATGCTCAGCAGATACGGGTACTCCCACTGATAAGGCATGGCCACCTGATCATGTGACAAAAGCCTCAGGTGTCCCACGCTCATCTTGGCAACCAGCAGCAGCCATATGACCAGATGCACGTAGATCAGCTTCTTGATTTCATACTTGAGGGTCACACTGTGGGGCAAAGCAGAGGAACAAGCATCTTTCATTGAAATTTTCCTGACCACCAACTAATTGCCATGTAACTATACTTGACACAGGGATATGAACTTGAATGATATAGTGCCTGACAGAGGATGGGGCTGAGAAGGTAAAATTAAGTGAAGATGAAGTGAAAAAGCTCTTTACAAGATATAGCAGATCAGAGGAGGAAAAAATAAATTCTGCATTGATGGAATGATAGAGACCACCAAATAAGAGATACAAGCTAGGTTCTGAGGGATAACTAGAGGTGGGCATTCTGTGCAGAGGTAATAGCATTCAAGAACAAAATACAAACATTTGTGTTCTAGAAAATTAAGTGGTGGGCCAGGGATTTAGCTCAGTGGCACACCTGCCTTGAAAGTGCAAGGTTCTGAGTTCAATCCCTGGTACCCCGCCCCCCAAAAAAAGAAAGAAAAGAAAATTAGTTGACTGAATGTGGCAAGAATACATTGCGTGTGGTGGTAGTGGGGTAAGTGGGGTATGGAGTTGCAAAGGCTATAAAATAGTCAACTTTTTTTTTTTGGTACCGGGGATCAAACTCAGGTCCTTGCATAATCAACTATTAACAGCAGACTCTTAGCTGTGTTTAGGTGAGTACACTGCATTGAAGCAGTACAGCCTGAAGGGTGAGAAGGTATTGGCAACCAGAAAAACAGCTCTTGCTACCTATATCTTTTCAGCTATAGATTTTCCTCTACAAGAAATACATACTTCTCTTATTCTTTTGATTCTCTTAGGTCCTAAATATACTCATAGGTCCTTCTCGGACTCCTGAGGGCAAAGTTTCTGCTCGGTGTACAAACTAAAGCACTTGCTTGGGTTGTGAGGCTTAAGGTTGAGAATGAAGTGAAGGTGCACGGAACCAGCCTGCCACTGTACAAACCTCTGGACAGATGTGGAGAACATTTTGGGAGGATGCAAATGGATTTAAAGACAATAAAAATTGTTTTAATTTTTTATTTTAAAATATTCATTAGGCGAATATTCATTAGGTGAATTAATATTCATTAGGTGAATATGTGGAAAAGAAAAAAGTCACCCCTAGAGTTTAGATGGGTAGAAACACAGTAAGAATATATCAAATGCAGAAATACCCCATGTGGGCATGTTTTTACTTCACTTTAGTCAGGGACGCTTTACCGCCCATATTCCCCTCAACTGCCCATATTTAACAGCTACCCGTGTTACCATGGGTTGTCTTGTGCTCCCGCCTTTACCCGAATTATTTGCTAATTCTTGACCAAAACCGAAGAGTTAGATGAGTTTCTTTCCGTGCAGATGAGGGGACTGAGGCTGAACTAAACATAAGGTTTCCAGGGTCGCACGGGGGCAGCAGTGACTCCGGAGACCATGCGGAGCACAGGGCGGGTCGGGGTCGGAGCTCGTGGGCGACGGGACCACAGGGGACGGAGACAGTGAGGCGGCCCCACATGCCGGGCAGGCTCCGACCGGGAAGGCCTCCATGCTCCTCGCCTCGCTTCATACCTCATTTGGTAGTGCGTGGCGACGCGCTCCCGGTGCTGAAAGTCGCTGCCGTCGGTGCCGGCCGCTCGCGGGCCTGCCCGAGACGCCATTGTACCTGACCAGAACCCTGGAGCCCCGCACTCCGACCGGACCCGGTATCGACACAGCCAGGAGAACCGCAAGCGACCCGCCTCCAGCTCTCTCAGCTCGGAAACGGCGCCGCTGGCGAGGAGCACTTCCGGCCGTTCTATCCCGCGGGGCGGCGCCACTCGGTGGTTACTCCCGAGCAAGCCTCCTCGCGCTCTCAGACCGCCCCGCCCCGCGGGAATCATTCCCGAAGTCTTTGCTTGGTTAGGCTTTCTTTGTTAAATCCAGTATTGGTGAAAGGCGCGGCTGCTCTCACTGCCGGCACTGAGAAACATGCTTGTAAGCGTTTTGTGACTTTGCCCCAGCATACAGTCACACAGGCTGCGCAGTTTCTCCCGGTAGGTCGTTTCAGACGTCACAGTGAAAAAGTTTAGTGGCCAGCCCTCCACCAAGTCCCTGCTTCACCCTGCGCCTCGAGATACAGCATCGCTTCTGTGATGTCCTGCTGAAAACGCTTAACCTGAACCGAATAATGGAGAAATGACGGGAAAACACAAACGGAAGGACACTGAAAGACAGCTGGACTGCGCTTTGCAGAAATGATTTCCAAGTAAAATGTTACGTTATCTGTAGAGTCAGAATGTAGAACTGTGGCTGCCAACACTTGTACTCCTTAAGTCGTGGAGGGAATTCGCATAAAGCAAAAAAAAAAAAAAAAAAAAAAAAAAAAAAAAAAAAAACGATCCCAAGTAAATCAACAAAGCAGAATAGCTCTGCAGGAGACAGACCTAACCTAAGGAGCACCCCCAGAGACAACATACTCCACAGTGCCCAACTAGCAGCCCTGAACACAGACCTGCGATGGGTTCCTCTGATGTGACACAGATAGCTTCCGTCAGGGGCTTTAATCTCACTGACATTTGGGAGCACGAGAAAGAGGACTGGATGAGCCCGAAAAGACAGAACATCCTCACAAAAATTATGTAAAGCTTCAACTTGTATTTCTTGTAATTGCCACCTCGGTTGTTGCCCACTTGCTCCCTTAAGGGCGTACTTTTCCCTTGCACTATTTTATTTTGCAATAAATCCTGCGTTTGCTTTCACAACACTTCTATCTGGACTGAATTCTTCCATCAAGAACACAAGGACAAGGTCTGGGAATGTAGCTCCGTGGTAGTGAGCCTAGCATGGAGGAAGCCCTGGGTTCAACCCAAAGGAAAGAGAAAGAACAAAACCGACCGGGTCTTTACAGTGGCTATGTAAGACCTAAAGCCTCACTACCACTCCAAGGAGCTCAACAGCCACTGAGGGCTTTCAAAATGTAAGACCAAGGGCCTTACTACCACTCCGAAGAGTTTGACAGCCACGAGATTCACCTGGGAAGGAACACACCGGACACATTGGAAAGGGAACAGACCTTCATTAGTCTGGCCAGGCGACACTCCCAGAGCCAAGCAGCTCAGAGAGGCGCCAGCTCAGGGGCGGAGGTCCTTTTTATAAGGGAATAGGCAGGGTGGGGGTCTACTCAAGATGCCTACAGAATGTCCCAAGGTTTTCAAAACATTCCTTCTGGGCAGACAAAGAGTGAAACAATCTTTATCTATTTACCCAGAACTACTAAATGTTCACCTGTTAATTTACATTAATCACAGTTGAGACTAGGATTTAAATTACAAAGTTATGCAGTTTTACATTCCTAAGCAAAAGTAGGGGTGCAACTACAAAGAGAAGTGGTGCACAACGGCCTCTGGGACCATTACTCATCCAACATGGACTCACTTTAATTCATTTAGGTCTTACAGCTAGAGCATTTGATGGCTGCAGTAAAAAGTTAAGGTTCTACTCCAGGGTTGTTGGGAACAGCTGAAGGGCTTAACCAAAAGACTGACATAGCTTTGGGATTTTATTTTATTTAGTTTTTTGGTAGTGGGGATCGAGCTCAGGACCTTGCACTTGCCAGGCGGGTGCAGTGCCACTAAGCTACATCCCCAACCCTAGCTTTGGAATTTTTTTTCTTCAAAAATGCAAATACATGTATTTTTGATAATGCAACCTAGGTGCACTAATTTTTTTCTTTTTTTTAAATTTTATCCCATTCTCCCCCTCAAGCCCCTTCTTCTCCCCTGTGTACACAATGTTTGTTTCCATTTTTTCCTTCTACTTTCACTTTTTTCTTGTCCTTTCCTTTTTCCCTCCCTCCTCCCTTGTTCCCCTATTTGAACAGTTTTTCCCCATTGCTTTGGGATTTTGAAAGACAGGTTTAACTAAGGCCAGGTGCAGTAGTATGTGTTGTACTACACATTAAGATAGGCCCTTACCTTGCCATGTTTTTTCTTCCCTAAGAATGTTTTGTTCCAGGAATGTAACAATTTACACTGCTCCTGCCCAATGTATCAAGCTGTTTTGTGACTGTTTGAACTATGTGACCTTTCAGGAATGTTCTGTTAAATTCCTACCCCTTGCTAGTATGTTCTGTAACTCCACCCCCTCTGCTTCAGTGAGCATGCTCACCTACCCTGTAGATCCCTATATAAAGAGGCTCTTGCTGGGCATGGTGTTGCACACCTGTATTCCCAGCACTGGTGAGGCTGAGGCAGGATTGCTGTATGGTTGAGACCAGCCTGGGCTATATAGTGAGTTCCAGGTCAGTCTCAACTGCATAGTGAGACCCTGTCTCAAAAACAAAACAAAACAAAGAGGCTCTCGTTTTTGGTAGAGTACTCAGACTTCTAGTACGAATTCCTCTGAACCTGCCTCGTAATAAAGGTTTTTGTCCACCTCTTGAAATGACCATCAGATCCTCCGCCCAGAGGTATAACACTGAGCTGTCACGCAGCTGTGCCTCAGAGCTGTGGCATTTGGCTGTGACACTGAGCTGTGACTCTTGGCTGTTTCCGCTTTGCCACGACATGAAGTGTGATTAACAAACATGGTGAATGGCAAGGCGTGGTGACATGTGCCCGTAGTCCCTGTAGTTCATGTCCAGCCTAGACTACACAGTTTAAGGCCAAATTGGAATGCACAGCAAGACCCTGTCTCAAAAAAGAAATAAAGTAAATGTTTAAATAAAAATGTATTACAGGGGCTGGGGATTTAGCTCAGTGGTTCTGCCACCTGCCTCACAAGCACAAGGTCCCAAGTTTGATCCCCAGTACAAAAAAAAAAAAAAAAAAAGTGTTAAAGCCTAGCCTGGTGGTGCATGCCTGCAATCCCAGCACTCGGGAGGCTGAGGCAGGAAGATCACTGTGAGTTCGAGACCAGCCTGGGCTACATAGTGAGTTCCAGGTCAGTCTCATCTACATAGACCCTGTCTCAAAAAAAAAAAAAAAACAAGAAAGAAAGAAAAGAAAGAAAGAGAAAACCTGAGGAGCAGGAGCTATTTTTACCTCTATTAGTCAGACTAATAGACAAGTCAGATCATGTAGCTTGTGTTAGACCAGTGCTTCTCAAAGTGGGGTCCTCAGGTTCATCTTTACCTGGGAAATGGTTAGAAAGCAAATCTGGCTGAGGGGGAGCTCAGTGGTAGAACACATGCTGGAGACCTGTAGGAACTAGGTCTGTGGGAACTGGCCTGTGAGTTTATCCCAACCCAGGGGCAAATCAAGACTAAAGACAAAAGACAAAAAGATAATTTGGAAGAGGAGGGCCAGGGGGCTCTTGCCTTTAGTAGACAAAAGAGCCTCAAACTGACAATGCTCCGCTTTTATTAGACCCATACAAAGAAGAAGCAAGCAAGTGGGCTGGGCATTTAGCTCAGGGGTGCCACCACCTGCCTCACAAGGGCAAGGACCCCAGTTTGATCCCCGGTACCAAAAAAAAAGAAAGAAAAAAAAGCATGTGACCCAGAATTCAGGGAAATTTTATCAGGTTCTCATAATTTACAAACTGCACCTGAATGTGTATTTTATTTTTTTAATAAATTTTATTTTATCCCCCCACCCCCATGTGCATTTTCTTTAATTAGACTTTAGTTGCTGTTGATTTTCTTTTTGAAACTAGCTGGTGCTGGCATTCTAGCGCATATACGAGGGAGGAGAGAAAGCTTTCTATCTTTACCCTTGTGTCTCAAGGAGAGTTTAACCTGGGTTCCCACAGAAGCCCTGTGTTTGATCCCCAGCATGGCCACCATCACAACACAAAGGCAGTGAAACTTTCAGGCCCAATTCCAGTCATGCTGAGTCAGAAACTCAGCGCTAAGGCCCAGCAACCTGAATTCAAGATGCCCTCGGGGATTCTGATGAACTAAGGTGCAAAAGCCCCATTAAAAAAAAAAAAAAAAAAAAAAAAAACATCCCAAAAAAAAAAAAAAAAAAAAAAAAAGATGAATTTAACTCTTAAAAAAACATTTTTTTTTTTGTACCACGGATCGAACTTGGGACCTTGTGCTTGTGAGGCAGGCAGTAGAACTACTGAGCTAAATCCCTGACCCTAAAAACATTTTATTAAAATATACTGTAGCACATATGCCATTCGGTCCATCCTCCCACTCAAGTGTAAATTCAGTGATTTTAGTACATTTACAGAGTTGTGCAACCTTGGCCAAAATAGATTGTGATCATAGAAATAGATTAGAACACATTGTGTCCCCAAAAGGAAACCTGTACCCATTAGCAGCCACTCTTCTCACTCTCCTCCCACTCTCCACTCCCAGCCCTAAGTAACACTAATGTATTTTTCTGACTGCGTATTTGTCTGTTCAGGACATTTATATAAGTGGAATCATATAATATGATGTGATATGTTACAGCTGACTTTTTCCACTTTCCATGATGTTTTCGAGGTTTATCCACATAGTAACATATATCTTTTTTTATTGACAAATGAGTCCCTGTTTATGGATATATATCTGTATGTGTGTATCTGTGTGTCTGTCTGATCAGACCCAATGACATTCTACTACTAAGCTATATGCTCAGATCTTTTTCTATTTTGAAACAGTGTCTTGCCAAATTGCTCAGGTGGAATTCAAACTTGCAATAATCCTGCCTCAGCCTCTTAAGTAGCTGGGAATCCAAAGGTAGACTACTTTGCCCTGCTTATGCTTTATTTTTTGATCTATTCACAAGCCGATAAACCATTCAGGTTTGTGTTCACCAGCTTTTCTGGTTCAGGACAAAATATCTGACATTCACAATTTAAAGTAGAAAGGTTTGCTGGGCTCAGTTTCAGAGGGCTCAGTCCATGGTTTGCTGACTTCATCGCAAGAACAACATGATGGAGGAAAGCTGCTTACCTCATGGCAGCCAGGAAGCAGAGAGACAGAAAAAGAGCCAGAGAGGAAGGTGACACAGATACAGTCCCCAAGACTACACCTTCATGACTACCCAGACACACTCAGAAGTGTGCTTTATAATATCTCCCAAGCATCTCAAGAAGCAAGTTGACACTCAAGATTAACTGTCACAGGTCATGTATAATGCTCTGAACATTTGTGTACAAGTTTTGGTGTGGACCTATGGACATAAGTTTTCATTTCTTTGGTTTTCATCGTGTGTGTGTGTGTGTGTGTGTGTGTGTGTGTGTGTGTGTGTATTGGCTGGGTCATAAGATTTTATACTCTTTTGAGCCAGTGAGGTAGCACACACCTGTAATCACAGAACTCCAGAGGCTGAGGCAGGAGGATCACAAGTTTGAGGCCAGTTTGGGCTATACAGCAAGACCTAGTCTTTAAAAAAAAACCTTATGCTCTTTTTGTTGGGGGGAGGTGCTGGGGATTGAACCCAGGGACTTTTCCCTGAGCCTCATCCCCAGCCTTTTTATTTTGAGATAAGATTTCAGTAAATCACTAAATTGCCCAGGCTGGGCTCAAATTTATAATCCCGCTACCTCAGCCTTCCAGAGCACTTGGATTACAGGCATGTACCTAACCTCACCTGGCTACATCTTACATTCAAGCACTACACTACACATTTCAGCTGGTTTTAGTCTCTACTAAATGTACTGAATAAATACATTATCAATAACTCTAATAATCACTTCCATCTACTGAGTGTCTAAGTTGCAAAGCCTTTGCTTTTTTTTTTTGGTACAGGGGATTGAACTCCAGTCTTTGCGCTTGCAAGGAAGGCCACCAAACTGCTGAGCTAAATCCCCGGCCTTTTTTTTGGTTTTTTGAGACAGGGTCTCACTATGTAGTTGAGACTGACCTGGAACTCATTATGTAGCCCAAGCTAGTCTCAAACTCCCAGCAATCCTCCTGCCTCAGCCTCCAGAGTGCTGGGATTACAGGTGTGTGCCACCACGTCCAGTTTGCAAAGCCTTTACTTTGATGATCACAAATCCTCAGCTCTATTGAGCAGGAGTCACTGTCCAGATATGTAGTAGAGAAAGACAGTGGCTCACAGAAGTAAACTGATGTGTCTAAACTCAAACAGCCAAACAAGGAGAAACTGGGACCACAGCACACATTTGCCTGCTTCTGTGCCCTCTTGCCTGATAATGTGTTTCCAAAAACTTTCGAAACATGCCTTCTTCCCTCCTTTCAGGCCTTGTCTGGAAGTCAGGCTAGCTTGAAGTCCCTAGGCAACAGCTCCCTGGCTCTTTTCCCAGCCAGGCCGAAGGCCAAGGGAGTGGCTTTGCTGTAGCTGGAAATAAAACAGGAGGGAGGACTGGGCCACGCAGTGCTGCAAGGAGGCTGTGAGGGGGAGGTGAGGAATGGGTGTTTGGATCCTGAAGAGCAGATGTGTGGGGCTCAGTGGTCTCAGTAGGGGTAGGGAAGGAGGAATAGCACTTTGCAGGGAAGTGGGCCTTGGGCCTTTGTGGCCTCTGCTTGAAGAGATTCATCTGCCTGTGCCTCTTACTCTAGCCTAGCTCTCCCTGTGCAGGGAGCTGAGACTAGGGAAGGCACCCACTGGACTAGCACCCAGGGGCTGGGGGAGCTAGAGAAGGAATGGGCACTGAGGCACATTTGGCCAGGAGGGGCAGGAAAAGGAGCCGTTCTTCGAGTCATCTTAGAGGGCTTCCGAGGAGTAGAAAGTAGTGAAACTGTGGTCTTGAGTCTGCAGCAGTTCAGCTCTGGGTCTGAGACAGGAGCTGCAGGCGGAGGGAGCTGTCCCGCAAGGCTTGGAGCTTGAAGGAGCTGCTGCATAGAGGATTAGGAGGTGCGGTGGCAGCCGATGAGCCCAGGGCTACCTGCCTAGGTCTGTGCTGTCCAGTATGGGTGCCAGGAGCTGCCTGCTACAGTGGCTACTTGAACTGGTTAAAATTCAAGAAAACTTCACATGGAGCTCCTTGGTCATGTTAAGCATTCTTCAAGTGCTCAGGAGCCGCACATGGCTAGGAGCTGTGGTGTAGAGGAGCTGCTCCATCAGCCCAGGAAGTCTTCTGGGCCAAAGGGGATTCATGGCCCGCTGTGTGTATGTGTGTGGGGGGTGTTGCTCAAGGACTCTTGGGAGGGAGCAGCTCAGACTGGGCTGGCTGCCTGTGAAGTCTCCGGACTGTAGGCCACCTTCGGGTCCCCAGAAGTGTGAGGCAGTGTGACTCACCTCCTGCCAGCACGGAGTGGACTCTGACGCCAGGGACAGCAGCCAACCAGGCAGGGCCTCTTCAGCCCAACTCGGGATCTCTGTTCACTGTGACGGAGCCAGGGGCAGAGAAACATGGAGTGAGTGGCGCAGGGGCTTTGGGCAGTTGTTGCAGGGGGCCGAGCTGTGTCCTGGGTTGGGGTGGGAGACTGGCTTGGTCATGGTTGAGCGGGGGTTGGATGGAAGGGGAGGGGAGAGAGAGAGAAAGAGAGAAAGAGAGGGAGAGGGAGAGGGGCCAGGGCAGGGCTCCCTGTGTCAAATGAGAGGTGGGAACCCTTCCTCCTCACTGTGACCAGCTGCTTCCTCCCCCTTCTCAGGTCCAATGCAGTTGAGCTGATGAGGATGAACTATGCCATGAAGTCCCTCAGCCTTCTCTATCCCAGGTCCCTGGGCAGGTGAGCACAGCTCCCTATGGGCGGTAGGGTCAAGCTTCTCAAACTTTGATGGTATAAGTCCTGTGGAGATCTTGTTAAAGCTCAGCTTTTGCTTCGGGAGGGTTGGAGTAGGAGCTGAGCTTCTGCAGTTCTGATAAGACCCTGGGAGATGTTACCACCGCTACCACCACCACCAAAAACAGATACTAAAGGGTAGGTTTTTGTGCTTGGTGATTCCATTCCTAATCTCATGTAAGCCTCATGACAGCTTTGGAAAGCGGGGCTGTTACACCAAATTAACAGATGAGGAAACTGAGGTTGAGTGGGGCATTCTCAGTTACCTAGCAAACCTGCAGTCTCAAGAAGATTTCAATTTGGGCCTGTCCGGCTACAAGATCCAGGTTCAAGAGCAAGCAATGTAGACAGGAATGAGCACGTATTAGATACCTGGACTCCCACCCCCCAGACCTACCTAATTGGCATCTGCATTGGAGCCAGTGCCCGGGTGACTTGTACGCCCATCAGAGCTTGAGACGTACCGCGCTGGCAGGCTTCCGAGTAAGGCTGTCCAGACTGAGCTCTATGAGAGGAGAGAAGGCCTGTAATGAGCTGGATGGAGCGGTGGGCTGAGGGCTGGTGCTGCAGGTGGTGGGTCCTGATGTTCCCAACCACCCCAGGCACATGGCAGTGAGCACCCAGGCAGTGGTGACCCAGCAGCTGCTGTCTGAGGCCGGTCCCGAGACCCCCAGGGCACGGCCCTGCCGAGTGAGCACCGCAGATCGGAGTGTGCGCAAGGGCGTCATGGCATGCAGCCTGGAGGATCTCCTCCGCAAGGTAGGGACCCACTGCGCTGCTGAGGCCACACTGGGATTCAGCAGGTCCTAAGTGGGAGAAGACTTTCCTTTCTGAGGTCAGCACCAGTGGGTTGCAAGCACCTACGGAGTGCCGTCGGGTTGATGGCGATGTCTGTCTGGTAACTGGGAGGGCAGTGTGCCGCCATCCTGTACGTTAGAAGTAGGCCAGTAATCTTTTCAGGAATAGTTTTTGCTGGAAAGACTCCTAGATTCCCTTTCCAGTAGTGCTTAAACTTGTAGAACTGCTCAGAAGTTGGGGAAATGAGAAGGATTTTAGAGCTTCCCTCCCAGGGCAGTTCTTTTATCTGTCACCCAGGGTGGTAGCTTCATGAAAGACTTTATTCTAACCATAGATCAGAGGCCTCCAGGGGAGAAAACAGAGAACATGCAGCTCTCACAGGTGGTGCAGCAGGCAAGAACACAGCCCGTCCCATCTCTCTCTCTCTCTCTCTCTCTCTTTCTCTCTCTCTCTCTCTCTCTGTAGCTTCTCCCTTCACCCATGCTGTGTCCTCCTGCTCTGTTAGTCATGAGGCCACATGCTTCAATAGCCTCTCGCCTCATGACACTCGGGCTGGTACCACAAGCCCAGGTGCCAGGCACAGGTCCAGTGCTAGTTAGGCTCCCAGTTACTGGAGTTTTTAACACAGACATCACATTTGATTGAACTCTGTCTTCTAGATTTCCCCCTGGTTCCTCTGAATTAGGCCTGTTCTTCTGGAAGCCAGTGCCCCCTCTTTTGTGAGGCTTCTGGTTGTGCCAGATTATGTGCCTTGAATCAAAAGAGCTCACTCACACTTTAATCTGGATTACTATTGTTTTGTGTCCTGGCTCTGGGGACCACCTCCTCATGACAATGTCCCTTGGTAGGCCTGGCTTCCCAGACTTCACCCAGAGGCTGATTAGTACAGACAGAGGCCCATCTGATCCTTTCCTGCTGCAGTCTTGGGATTAGCATTTTTCCTAGTAAATTCTGCTTTATTTCAGAAGGAAGTGGTATTCAGAAGTCAAGATCTGGGAGCTCAGTTTGTGCATTGCTATTGGTGTGTTGTTTATTTTATGCACCACTGCCCTTTTTTGGGGAGGGCAGGGTCTCACTATGTAGTCCAGGCTGGCCTCGAATGCCAGCAATGGTCCTGCCTCAGCCTCCCAAGTGCTGGGATTACCGCTGTGTTTCCTACTAAGCAGATTTTGACTAACGGCCTTAGTAGATGTTTACTGCTTTGTACAGTATGTTGCAAAACCTGTTCTTCTTGGAAGTGTTCATGGTAAGCCTTCTTAAAAATTACTAAATTAAAAAAAAAAAAGAATTTTATGTAGCAAAATATATTCCCTAGTGAATCCTAATGAGAAGAGTAAAGTGAGAATTCTGTCACTCCAAAATAATTAATGATGTTTTGTAAATGTCTTTTTGTGGGGGAGGTACCGGGGATCAAACTCAGGACCTTTCATTTGCGAGGCAGGCGGCAGAACCACTGAGCTAAATCCCCAGCCCCTAAACAGTTGATTCTTATGATGTACAACTTACTCCGTTTTTTGTTTTGTTTTGTTTTGTTTGTTTTTTGTACCAGGGATCGAACTTGGGTCCTTGTGCTTGCAAGGCAGGCGGAGGAACCACTGAGCTAAATTCCCAACGTACAACTTATTTAAATGGGGTTATATACTATATAGCCTAACTTTTCATTCTATGACATATCACGGGTCTAATCATCTTAAATTTACTATGAAAAGGTGATAAATGTTACATACAGACTGTGTACTCTGCCAGGTGACTTACAACATTTCTTCTAATCATAACCTTAAAATAGTTACTACTATTCCCATTTTCCAGAGGTGGAGGCCAAGTTCGTTTCCTGGGACTGAAAGCCGTGTGGTGAACTCAAGGGTTCTTATGCTAAATCTTGCATTTAACCATCATATCAAATCCAAGGCTAACCGTGCTTTCACTTTTTTATTTTTATTTATTTGTTTATTTATTTATTTGTACCAGGGACTGAATTTGGGTCCTTGCACTTTCACGGCAGGCGGCAGCACCGCTGAACTAAATCCCTGGCCACCCTTTGGTTGGTGGCGAAACTAATTCGTAGAAGTGAGATAAGCTAAAATGAATCAAAGATATAAATGTAAGGGCTAAAGCTATATATGTATTTGAAATAATTCACTAGTTCCTCTAAATATCTACAATTATGATGTGTCAATTAAAAGTGAAAAAAGATTCTTCAAAAGTAAAAAGACAGCCGTGCGTGGTGGTGCACACCTGTAATCCCAGCACTTGGGAGGCTGAGGCAGGAGGATCACTGTGAGTTCGAGACCAGCCTGGTCTACATAGTGAGTTCAGGTCAGTCTCAATTACATAGTGAGACCCTGTCTCAAAAAAAAAAAAAAAAGTAAAAAGTAAAAAGACAATTGCAGGGTGGGGGGTGTAGCTCAGTGGCACCCTGCCTACTTGGCAAGTGTGAGGTCCTGTATTCAATCCCTGGTACAAAAAAAAGAAAAAGACTACTTCAGAAGGGGAAAAATATTTGCAAATCATGTATTTGATAAGGATCAAGAATGTTTAAGGATCTCTTAATTATAAAAAATATATATATATATATAGACTCTAACAACTCAACACTAAAAAGACAATCCAATTAAAAATGGAAAGAGATGGGCTAGGGCTTTAGCTCAGTAGCGCCACTCCTGCCTCCCAATTTCAAGGTCCTGAGTTCGATCCCTGATGCTGCAAAAAAAGCGGGGGGATTATAAATGTGATCCAAAGCTGTGTGATTTGGCAACTCAGTGAGACCATGTCTCAAAATAAAAAATAAAATAATAGCTCAGTGCAAAGGCCCTGGGTTCATTCTCTACTCTCTCTCACTCTCACACACACACACACACACACGCACATATCACCACCACCACCACCACCCATGGGGTGAAGACCAGGCCAGTACAGCAGCACATACCTCTAATCCCAGCTTGAACCTGAGGCAGGAGGATGAGGATTAAAAGTTTGAGATCAGCCTAGGCAACTTGAGAGCCTGACCCGAAATAAAAACGTAAAAAGGGCTGGGAAGTGGCTTGGCCAGCATGCACAGGGCCGTGGTGCAGATGCCACCCGGGGAGCCCAGTCGCCCTGCAAGCTGAGGGGATGTGGTGTGACGTGGCTCTTCCCCATACCGGCTCCATGGCTCCATGGCGCCGTAGGGATGGCCGAAGCAGTGCTAACCTTCTTCCTCAGGTGCGGGACATCTTGATGCTGAAAGACAAGCCCTTCTCCCTGGTGCTGGAAGAAGACGGCACAGCTGTAGAAACAGAGGAGTATTTCCAAGCCCTGGACGGGAACACAGTGTTCATGGTCCTCCAGAAGGGGCAAAAATGGCAGCCCCCATCAGAACAGGTGAGGTCCTACCTGCTCAGGGAGAAACAGAGAGCTGGGGTGGAGTCCCCGAGGAGTGCCTACCATGTGTCTGTCCTGCTGCAGGGAACTAGGTACCAACTGTCCCTCTCTGACAAGCCCTCCAAGAAGATTGATGTGGCCCGCATCACCTTTGACCTGTACAAACTTAGCCCAAAGGACTTCATCGGCTGTCTGAACGTGAAGGCAACCCTCTACAACACGTACTCCCTGTCCTATGAGCTGCACTGCTACAGGGCCAAGCGCATTGTAAAGTGAGTGGCCTGGGATGGGCTGGGGTCAGGGTGGGAACCAAGAGACCCTAGCTGGCCACCTGGAGCTCAGCCTTCTCAGGGCCCGGGTCTGGTGCCTGTGCTGGCAAAGTGTGACAGTTAGCATTTGTGCAGAACTTGTGATGTGCCTGTGTGCTTTGGATTACACCTGCGTATGCCAAAGAGGACACATACTCCTCCTGATGGAGTCTGGATATGTTTATCTTTACATTCTACCACAGCAAACTATAGTTTTTCACCTAAAAAGAAAGTGTTCAGCCGGGCGTGGTGGTGCACGCCTGTAATCCCAGCACTCAGGAGGCTGAGGCAGGAGGATTGCTGTGAGTTCGAGACCAGCCTGGGCTACATAGTGAGTTCCAGGTCAGTTTCAACGACGTAGTGAGACCCTGTCTCAAAAAAACAAACAAAACGAAACAAAGAGTTCATTAGAAGACTACTTTGGAACACTTTCTGTTTGTTTGTTTGTTTTTATAGGGGTGCACCACCACACCTGGTTGAACTTTTTTTTTTGGTTCTTGAGATTGAACTTGCAGCCTCACAAATGCTAGAATGGGCTTTACCAGTGAGCCCCCACTCCCAGCTAATCAACTTTTATAAAACAAACATGTATCAAAGATTTTATTCAGTGCATTAATTCATGCCAAGATTTAGCAAGAGGTTACAGTCAGCTCAATTCAAAATCCCCGTACAGGGCTGTGGATTTAGCTCAGCAGTTTGGTGGCCTGCCTTGCAAGCGCAAGGACCCGAGTTCAATCCCTGGTACAAAAAAAAAAATCCCTGTACATGGGCCAGAGATGTAGCTAGTGGTGCCCGCACCTCCCTGGCAAGCACAAAGTCCCAAATTTGATTCCTGGTACTAAAAAAAAACCAACAAAACAAAACATATATATACAGATCCATCAATAATGAAATGTTAAATTTATAGATTCTTGCTGAGCATGGCCCTGTACTCCTGTAATCCCAGCACTCAGGAGGCTGAGGCAGGAGAATCACCAAAAGTTTGAGGCCAGCCTGGGCTACATAGTGAATTCAAGGCCATCTGAATTACATAACAAGACCTTGTCTTGAAAAAAAATATATAAGGCCAGGGATTTAGCTCAGTGGTGCTGCTGCCTGCCTTGTAAGCCCAAGGACCTGAGTTCGATCCCTGGTACCCCCCAAAAAAAACCCCCACACAATTTATCAGTTCTAATTTTTGGGAGGTTCTGGGGGTTGAACCCAGGGCCTTCACATTAAGCTACATCCCCAGCCCTTTTTATTTTTTCTATTGAGACTGTGTGTTGCTAAGCTGCTCAGGCAGGGCTTGAACTGGTGGTGCGCCTGCCTCGGTGCTGGGATGTGCGGGTTTGTACCACGTCTGGCCTGGCCTTCTCCGTTTGCCCTCTGCATACCCAGTCTCAGACTAAGGGTCAGAGGCTTGGTGGCTGTGTGCCAGAGCCAGCACTCAGCGGCCAGCTGGAGCCCCCTCCACAGCTCCCTCATCAGATCAGCATGTTCCAGCCCTCTAGGTCTGGGACTGCTGCCGTATTAGAAAGATTTCAAAAGCTAGAGAAAGAAATTTCAGCCTTGGATTCAGTCCATCTAGAGGAAGTGAAACTCTCAGACCCAAACACAATAGATACAACGGTACTGAAAAGCAATAGCAATCATGGTGCTTGCCTGGAATTCCAGCACTTGGAAGCTGAGGCAGGAGGATTGCAACTGAGCCAGCCTGGGCAACTTAGCAACTTAGTGAGATCTTGCATCAAAATAAAAAATAAAAAGGGCTGAGGGTGATGTAGGTCTGTGCAAAGGCCCAGGTTCAACACCCAGTACCCAAAAAGGGGAAAGGGCAGCTGGAGTCAGTGACAGTGGTGTCTCTATACTTTTAAAGACATTTTGGCAGGGCTGAGGATGGAGCTCAGCTGCACAGCATTTGCCTGGCAAGCACAAGGATTCCCAGGATCCCCCAGAAAAGATACTGTGGTAAAATATATATAATAGGATTTTTAAAATTTTCAGTGCTGGGAATTATGCTAAGGGCCTTATGCTTGCTAGGCACACTCTCCACCACTAAGCTACATCTGTAGTTCATCTTTTTGACCATTTTAAAGTGTGCAATTCAGTGGCACTAAGCACATTTATGTTGTGCAACAATTGTAACTCTCGATTTGCAGAACTTTTTCACCATCCCTAACAGAAACTGTAACCACTAAATAAAAACTCTTACTCCTCCCCCCCAGACCCTAGTAACCTCTATTCTACTTTCTAGTTCTAGTTCTAGAACTAGTATCTTATTTTCCACCTCTTACCTTCTTTTTTTTTTTTTATTTTATTGAGTTTATTGGTACATTTTAGGGATACAGTACAGTTACATTCATTGTTGGGATCATGTACCTCTACATGGCAAGTCTTGATTCTCATTTTTTCCCCTTACCTCTGCCCTCCACCTCTTACCTTCTTAAAAAAGAAAAAAAAAACTCAAACTCAGGTCCTTAGCCTTGAGAGGCAGGCAGCAGAAACACTGAGCTAAATTCCCAGCTCTGTACCATTTATTTTTAAGGTTGGTCAGCTTATATTATACTGTGCTGGGGATTGAACCCCTTGTACACGCTACACAAATGTCAGTCTACCAACAGAGCACTCTCCAACCGTAAAATATTTTTATTTGTAAGTGTTCATAGTTCTAAGTTCTAAGTGCCTTTCTGATCCCCTTAACTCCAACAAGAAAATAAATTGCCTTATTGATTGAAGATTAACAGAAACCTTAACTTTCACTGGGTACGGTAATGCCCACCCAGAATCCCAGCACTCTGAGAGGTTACAGACTGGAGCCCAGTGTGAGCAACTTTTTTGAGACCCTGTCTCAAAACAGAAGAATAAAAGGGCTGGGGACATAGTTGGAGGCGTGGCGTCTGCTAGGCTCTGGATTTAATCCCCAGTATTGAGAAGAAGAAGAATGGAAGCCAGGAAGTATTTCTTTTCCCCATTCCCCTATTCTTTTCTGCTCCCCCGTACTAAAGTTTTCGCTCACCTGTTCTCCTGGGCCTAGACACTTCTGGTGAGCCTTTCCCCACCTCTCAAACAGATTCGGTAGAGATTCAAAGTTGCCTAGCATTCCACAGCTGCTCTTGACTCTGCAGCTGCCCCACTCTATACATGAGGCCGCAAGCCAAGTTCCTTACGCTATTTCAACCTCATAACCCATTTTACATGTGAGGAGCCTGGTGCTCACAACTAGAGAAGTTAGGATAAAAAATAAGCCTAGGGCCGGGGATTTAGCTCAGTGGTTCTGCCGCCTGCCTCACAAGTGCAAAGACCCGAGTTCAATCCCTGGTGCCAAAAAAAAAAAAAAGTCTAAAATAAACTTAGAATTTAAACAAAAATCTAAGCAGTTTGCTAAAGTTCACCTCCTTAGTGCGTTAAGAAGCCCAGGCTGGGGATGTGGTGCTTACCTAGCATGTTCAAGGCCCTGGGTTTGAGCCCCAGCTCCACTGAGACTGGCCTGGTGCTCAGGCTGTCTAGCTCAGGGTCTGTTCTTTCAGTGTGTGCTTCCACAGGTGATATGGAAAGACTGGAGTCTGGAGCAGAGTGTCATGAAGGATAGAACCATGAGACATAGATTAACCTGGCTGGCCCCAAGGAACAACATTAAGGAAAAGAGGGCTGGGGATGTCACTCAGTGATCAAAGTGTCTGCTACACGCAACGGGCAAGTGCCACACACCTAAAATCTCTATCCCTATATTCGGGAGGCTGAGGCCAGAGGATCGTGTGTTCAAGGCCAGCCTGTGCTACATAGTGAATTCAAGGCTAACCTGGACTGTACAGCAAGACCCTGTCTCAAGTAAACAGGACAAAAGCCAAAAGAATGCTAATTTGAAACCTATTCCTCTAGGGCAGTGTGGTAATGTGGGAGGAGGCACAGGGAGGCACATGTGGGGTGTTCTTCCAGTTTTCACTGAGGTGCCTCCCTCCCCTCCCCAGGGAAGTACTCTGCTGGATCCTCTTTGGCATGAGGGCCACGGGCCACATGCTGCTCGGCACCTCCAGCTACATGCAGCAGCTCCTGGATGCCACTGAAGAGGGGCAGCCCGCCCAGGCCCAGGCCTCCTCCCTTCTCCAGACCTGCCTGAAGATTCTGCCATGAGGCCTGGAGCCCTCAAGGGCTTCCTCAGCCTGGAATCTGTGCAACCCCAGCGGCTGGAGAGCTTCTCACCTCCCTGCATCACCTTTACAGCACAGGAGCACGCACTAGGCAGAAGGAGGGCCGGGAAGCTACCCCACCTGTCCTATGAGAGGGTCAGGCTCCTGGCCTGAGCTGCTCCTTCATGCCCCAGGAAACTTAGCGGACCACAACAGTGACCCAGCAGGGGCCTTGCGGTCTCCCCTCAGCCGTGTGTCCTCACGCTCCACCCCTCCCTCCCGGAATACTCCTGTGTGCATCACCAAGCCCGCTGCTGCTCCATGTCCCAGTTTGCAATACACAATCTGTGTGACACATCTCTGCCTGTGTTCTTTGGGGATGGGGTTGGGGTTCGGTTGGAAGGCTGGGAAGGGGCAAAGGAAGAGGACTTTGTCTTCGAAACTTCTCCATAATGTGGTGATTCAGGAGGTGGTACTGTTTTTTTGTTTTGGTACCAGGGATTGAACTTGGATCCTTGTGCTTGCAAGGCAGGCATTGGCAAGATGGATCTTTTTGATTTTAGAAGTCTACTGAATTTGCAACTTGCGCAGACCATGTAACCAATACAAGTGCCGATTTCCAAACAAAATTTCCCTATCAAAACAGCTTCAGTGTGGTAGGTGGATTAAATCACTCTTACTTCCTCTGTGTCAGGTATTATATTAGGTCAGGGAACACTCATCAAGTTATAATGCTGCCACTGTCCACTACCGCCTGCCCTTACTCACCCTGTGCATTCAGAATCTCCAGCCCGAGGGTTTCAGCGTGAGCTGTTGTGAGTGACAGAGCATTTGCCTAGCATGGGGCAGGCTCTAAATTCCATCAGCAAAAAACCCAAAAACAGAGTGAGCTGGTTGGTAGCTCCAAAGAGGATTAGTGTTTCATCAGTGTAATCTGGCAACATCAACATCAGGCAGCCACGTAGGATGAGCATGAAAGTCTGTGATTCTCAGCATTCGGTAGGCTGAGGCAGGAGGATTGCTGTGAGTTCGAGGCCAGCCTGGACTATACAGTGAGTTCAAGACCAGCCTGAATTACATAGATCCTGCCTCAAATAAAACAGAACCAAA